CTCCCTTCCGAGGAGGCGGCGCCGGGTGGCGCGGGGCGCTGCGGGCTGGGGCTCAGCTTCCCGGCGCGAGGCCGCGCGTCCTTCCCTGTGAAGTCTCCGCGCGGCCGGGCCCAGCGTGAGTATTCTCCACTCGCTCTCCTCCCCCTGCAGGCGGGAGCGCCCGTTTACTCGAGGTGAGAGTCCCCCTCGGGCAGCGGGCCCTGCGTGGGGGCGGGGTGCTCGCGCGCTCGGGGTGTCGCCTCCCGCCAGGGGCTTCCCCCGAGCCGGCCTTCCCCGCGGGGCGGAGGCGCTGGCCCGGCGCTCGGGGAGCCGCGCGGCCCCGTCGGGGCTTTGTGTGCCGTTGGGGCCATCTGCGGGGGTCGCTCCGGTTCTCACGCCGAGCTTGGGGAGGGAGCCGTGCCCACCGCGGACGGAGGGCGGCGGCCAGGCGGCACGGGGGTCGCCCGGGCGCGGGGTCGCCAGGGCAGTGGGTCACGCGCTGCAGTCTTCGGCGAGAGCGACCGCGCCAGCGCCGGAGCTTCGCCGAGGCCAGGCCGAGGTGGCCGGACCCCGCCCCAGCCCTCCGCCGGGCCTGCACCCCAGCTCACCGCAGAGACCTTCGCGGCCGACCCCTCGCCTCCGGCTCGACTTCAGGGCCAGCAAAAGTGAGGGGCCCTTGTGTGGCGGGCGTGGGGCAGGGAGGCAGACCCCCTGGATGGGATTCGAACTGGAAAGAGAAAAAGGTTGTCCTCCTCCCGTGGAGGCTCCTGGCCCGTCTGGCCGCCTCCAGTCCCGCCCACGAGACCTCCGGGCAACTTTCATTCAGTTCCTAAATGAAACCTCGAGAGGGATCGAAGCCCTTCGGCTCACGCGTGGCGTGTCTCTCCATCCCCGCTGCTCGGAGCCGGCCTTCGCACGGCGTGCTTAGTGTTTTTACTCCACGGTCACGCGAATACATGGTGTCAGTCTAGGGCAGGGATGTCTCCATGCAGACGATCTTGACAGCAACCATCCCACCGAGCCATTATGAAGTGTGATGTCAGTGCGTCCCGGAAGGACGGATCATCTATAAGCCAGTCCTTGACACGGTATCTTACGAGAAAGCATCTGAGGCCATCCGTAAGAGGCCTTTCTGGAAAATATTTTGTGTTTGGTTAATATCTTTCAAATGCCAAAAAAGGTAGTAGCATTTACCATGGTGTAGGCATTTATCAATGACCTCCCAAAAGTCCTCATAGGAAGGAGGGTTTTTTTTTCTTATTTCTATTCTATCATAAACTGAGATGTTATGTAACCCACCAAATAGGACAAGCCAGTCAGTGAGAGAGTTCTTTTTATGAGCCCAAACTGCAATAACTGGAAAAATCAAGTCCAAATCTAAGCAAATGCTTTAGGCTGTATTTACATGGACCAAATCTTTTGGGAGTTAAACTGTGGGAGTTAATGTTAAAATGAACTCCTTCATATGTGTTGACCTGTTTTCTTTCCCTCCCTCCATCCATTCAGTAGGTATATGTTCACTACCTATTCTAGGTCCTCCATTTCACCTTGCCCTTGAACATGACTCCCATAAGCATTTAATAGGTAATTGTTGAAATATAACTGAAATATGTATATTTTTTCCTGGTTCCAAGAAACTCAAGGAACCTTATTACAAAAGAGTTAAAAGGAAAAAAACTAGCCTTTCATTTATACAAATGGGAAATTGAGTTGACTACCTTTCAGTAGTAAGTCAAGGGAAGAAAATAAATTAGGAATCAGAATGTTTTATTCAGCTTGTGTTCTATATTCACAGTACCTTTTTGGGGGGTAGGGGGATTGTTGTTTGGGTTTTATTTCTATTCCTTAAAACTCTTTAAACAAAGTTTAAAGGACTTACATGGTTGAAAGGGTTTATGGTATTCTTTTCATTGTTTTGGAATGCAAAGTAATTCTAAAAATGTTTTGCTCCTTATATGATATGCTGGACTGACTGGTTTTTAGTGAGTAAAAGCACTATATTTTTAGTTAAAATCAAAACCAAATACAGGACCTTTCCCCACCAACCTGAAGTAAGAATTGCCTTCAATTAAGTCAAATAAACAAAACACATCCCAAGTAGTCATACATATGCCTGGTTACATAGAAAAATATAACCAATATGTTTATCCCAATTATTTGTAATTTTTAATTTCTCTTGAATAGTCCTTGAAATCATTCAAAATACCTTAAATATAAAAACATTTTGGGTGATATCTGCCAGATGCGCTTAAAGGATGCAAAATTTTGTGAAGTACAATAACAGAAGCCAGTATGTTAGGAATACTTTTATCCCTCACCCTAATATTGTGCTATAGGGCTGAAGATATATGACCGAGATATGACTATAAGTGAATGTCTGTGTTTTAACAATGATACTAGAACTGACACATACGTTTTAGTGTGTCCTCATCCAACTAGTCATCTTGGAAGGCCGCCACTTATTGCATTGGTGCTCCCATTGCACAGACCTTTCCTGGAACTCCTCCTTGGGCCTTGCCTTCAGAACCCACAGCACATCAGATCATAGTGATGACTTGGAGGTGGCAAGTCATCTTACTTTGGAATCCTTCAGTGCCCTGAAGAATAAGGTGGGTGATCAAGTTGGGGTAATATAAATTGAGGTCAAAACAAGCTGAAAGACAATTAGATGGCTTCTTGAGTGACTTTTCAGCTCATTTTAAAGTCATTGTACCAACACAGTGTGAACTATGGCAGCACCAGTGGAATAAGAGTAGCATCAGCACATAGTACACATATAGTACATTGGTATGTACTAAAGGCATATTCCTTCAGAAAGTTCTATTGCCAAGAATTTGGCTGGTTGATTCAGGATTTTAGGAGACTACACAATTCTGGTATGCTTTAAAAAGTTGCTAAGTTCTAGAATATGGAATTGGGCGGAAAGAACTCAAGATGCCATGGCTAAAAATAGGGTTGCCCTATATAGTTCACAAAACTGGTGTTCCATGTTCCTTGAAACATAGAAGAATCATACTCAATTAAAAAATTAAACTTGACCTGTATTCTATTTAGTGAGCAAGGCATTTCACTATTACAAAAGTTTAGCCATCTGTTAGCCTATGGGTGAGGTCTAACCTGTAAGGGAACACACTTGTGATTTTTAGTAGTGATTATAAATATAGACCCAAAGCGTATATGTAGTAGAACACTGTACCTTTGTAAGTTAATAGTCTACCTACTATACAAAATGCAGAATCATGGAACTCCTAACCCAGTGGATTTAAACTCTTACTATAATATTCAAGACCAGAATATGAGAGGGAACTGAAAGACACCCAAGAAAAGGTGAGAAGGGGAAGGAGAGGTGAAGGTCATGGGATTTTTGAATTATAATTAGTTGGATTCATTTGAGGAAAGGATTTACAATTACTTTTCAAAACCACCAGCAAACAGTTTAAAATTTGAGGAAATAATTCACATTCAACTCCAGTTGAGACTATATAGAGAACCAAGGAAGGCAGAAAGAATGTAATTAGCTGAGTAGGAATTTTTCTAAGAGTTCAGGTCTAATACCTTTAGTATTTAGTATCAGAAGGCGATGGGATCATTAGTGATTAGTAGGAATCCAGACCATAATGATCAGGAGAGATCAAGGCCAGTGGACAAAGATGAAAGAGCTTTTCTGCTTAAACCCTATGTTGTAAATGCTGATGCTCTTACATAGGGAAGGTCAGTCAGCAGACAAAGAAATAGAGCTGCAGTCCCAAAGCAACAAGTATACTCCCCTCTTTCACTTGAGTTAGATTGGATATGGAGATTAAGCAAGTTTGAGCGGAGACAAAAAGAGCGCTCTTATTTCAGCCACTTACAAGGTCTGAAACTTTGAGTTCTGTCTGCTTTGATGAGCTTGGTTATGCCCAGAAATTGGGGATTCCCTACTAGGCCTTGGATACTAGGGTTACACATCTAACTAAAAGCCAGGGAACAAGGTGAACAGAGCCTTTTCTAGAATTTTTCTGGGTGAAGACTCTGGGCTGCCTGTCCATTAAGTGGACAAAAGAGCTCCTAAAATGAGCCGGGCTCGGTGGCTCAGCCTGTAATCCCAGTGCTTTGGGAGGCCGAGGTGAGTGGATTGCCTGAGCCTGTGGGTTCAAGACCCGCCTGGGCAACCTGGTGAGACCTCATCTCTACAATAAATCAAAAAATGAGTTGGGTGTGGTAATTTTTTACACACGCCTGTAGTTTCACCTACTTGGAAGCCTGAGGCGGAAGAATTGCCGGAGCCCAGCAGGTCGAGGCTGGCAACTCAAAAAAAAAAGAGCTTCTAAAATGTATGTTAGGAGTACAAGAGAAATTTATATGTGAAGTATCAGGTACCCAGCACACCTTCCATAGATAATGACAATTGTGGGAAAACAAGTAATACAATATAAATAAATAATATAGATATAAAGATGATTTTAACCTTCCTTTTGAAATGGATAGCCTTAATCATCATGCCTGCCCATCTTATTGTAAAATTGGAGTCTAAATACTACATCTTTTGTATAGCGTTTATAGCTTCAGGAGGAGGTGGGGGAAGCTCTTAGTGTGGCCCAGGTAGATGTAACAAGTCTGGTGGGTATGGGCGAAGGCCACCTCTTTCAATTAGAAAAGTTCCTGCCTTTAAACGTACAGAATTCACATGTAGATTCAGAGCATGGAAGAGGTGGGGAATTGCCCTGAGAATTGGGAAGTATCATATGGTAGGAAGAGTCCTGGACCAGGAGTGGGGACTGGGTTTACCATGTACCAGTTGTGTTTCTTGAGGCAAATTTTGGTTTTCCTGATGGACAAAATGAATATATTAATAATTTCCTCTAGGTCTAATTCACAGGGTAGTTTGAGCCTCTTCTGAGAAGTAAATGAAAGGACTTGCTGAGCACATGCAGGGTTTTGTGTACTGCAAAGCAGGTTTTATAGGTAAAGGTAAGGATTGTAGCTCTTGATAATTAAAATATAAATAATTAAAATATAAATAAAGATGGAGGCCACGCACGATAGCTCAGCCTGTAATCCCCGCACTTGGGGAGACTGAGACCAGAGGGGTTCGAGACCAATCTGGGCAACTTGGTGAGACCTTGTCTCTGCAGTAAATCAAAAAAGCTAGCCGGGCATGGTGGCATGTTTCTGTAGTTCCAGCTACTTGGAAGGCTGAGGCGGGCGGATCACC